CTTAAGTTGATTTGCTTTGTTTCTGTCTCTTCTGTGCTCTTTCTGTCTTCTAGTGGGCCTCGGTGTCAAAAATCTTAAGTTGATTAGCTTTGTTTCTGTCTCTTCTGTGCTCTTTCTATCTTCTTGTGGGCCTTGGTGTCAAAAAAACTCTCATCTTAAGTTGATTTGCTTTAAGTTGATTTGCTTTGTTTTTGTCTCGTCTGTGCTCTTTCTGTCTTCTTGTGGGCCTTGGTGACAAAAAAATATCATCTTAAGTTGATTTGCTTTGTTTCCGTCTCTTCTGTTATCTTTGCGCCTCCCATGCACCTCGTAGTGATGCAAGTGGTGCTGTGGAACGCCCCCGACTTTTTTAGCATTTTCTCTGTCATTTTTGTATCCGATGATCTTGTGGAAAGTCGGGGCCCAGTTTGTCAAAAAATTGTCAAAAAACAGTGCATTAATGATCCAAAAAAGTCTTATTTTTTGCTGTGTTTTCCAATGTTTTATGCACATTGCATTTCAAAGCCTTCGAATGCGAGATAACAAGATAAACCTCAAAAATTGCCTCTCGTGCAGGTAAAATGCAACTTTTTGAAGGTAAATAAGCTCAACACAAACCCACCCAAAGCAACTTTTTACTGTAAATTACAGTGTTTTTTGCACCTTCGAACCTGCCTCAAGACACCCCAAAAGTCTGCAAATCAAAACCTCGAACTTTCACCCCCCCCCCCCCCGCCCTCCCTCCCGGCCAACAACTCAAAGCGATATTCATCGCTTTCCGTCATCAGCTTGGCCCCCCCCCCCCCCCCCCCCCTTCCCTTTCGGTAATACTTCCAAGCGCTACAGCGCTTTCCGTCATCATCGCTGAATTAGACTTAGAAAAAATATATAATGTCGACATGCATATAATTGATCTCCAAAACCACCAACTACCAGGACCTTCCATTCGAGGTGTCTGTAAATAGCCTCATAAAGAGGTGATGACCGGCGTCAAACCACCGGGGGAATGGAAGGTCCGGGGAGTGTGTGGTTTGGAGTGTGTGGTTTTTGGGGGGAGTCTCTATACAAGCACGGCCAAGTCGGAAACAATCGGCCAAGTCGGCTGGCATGCGGATCCCGATCTGCTGGGACCCGGATCCGGACCTCGTTCAGTCTGGTCAGTGGATTTGGGGCTCCCAGGAACCGGGACTTCCGCCGGTTCCAACGAAAAGTGACCCACAAAAAAACAGATCGAAGTCATCCCCCCCCGAAACCCCGTCTAACGGAGCGAAATCTGGTTTGGAAGGGGGGTTCAAATGGATCGGAGAGTGTCCATTCGTCGGACTCGTCCCACCAAGTGCCACAAGTAGAGTCGAAATCAAGTATATAGTATAGTGTAGTTCCTCTACCACAAGCAGTGACAGATGATCCCCGCCTAGTGTTACTTGGGGGTCCCCGCTGCATCGATGCATCGATCGCTTCTCCCCCACGCTGTCGCCTCCATCTGTTGCTGCAGAAGCGAAAAGATGGCCTTGTCAAGTCGGAGAAGAAGCTGCGAGGGCTGCCGTGCAAGTGCTCCAGTGAGGACAGACAAAACGCCTGGGGGGTGGCCTCTGCAGACATGAAAATCACGCGGTGGCCTGGGGGGGTCAGTGGTTCTTTTTCTGCATGGGAACGCGCTGGTTTGTGCATAGTATGGCTTCAGAATAACACCTCTTAAGCCAAACCTTTCAACAATTACCCAAAAACACGGGAAAAACACGGGCCCTCACAGCGTCCCTCAACTTTCACAGGTGCAAGCTTTGTGGACGGCGCTCTGATGCAGGGGTGGGCAAAGCCTGCAACCAAAGGAAAAGAATTCGGCATCGGAAGCTTGAAACGAAGTATATAATTACTTCTCGATTGAATTGAATTGTCAATTGTATGTTTCCAGGTCTCTATTGTCATCCCCTTTCTTTCTGGTTAGGACTCGGCTTCCAACACACAGGAATCCTCATCGAATCTACCGACCGAAGCGTCCTGCACGGTCTCTTGGTCAGGGTGAACTGGGTCAGCTTCCATTTTCCGGTCGATCTGATCGCGTTCGCATCGCGATCGCATCGCGATCTTCGAACGCGAACGCCAAGAGAAAAACAAGCAGTGCTTCAATTGGGAGTCTCGGCTCGACGGTGTTTTCAGTCACTGAAAACCATTGACCCTGCCATTCCCCCCGTTTCACCACTGCTCACCGTTGCACCCCGTCTTCACGCGGGTCACTGCCTGCTTGTCCGAGTTGCGGAACGTACTGCTCCTGTCACGCCCGGTCACACGTACTGCGCGCGGTCACACGTATGGGGGCAGCAGAAGTTTCCTGGATCGGAGTGCCTTCCACTGGGATGGAAGTGGTGCTGGTTCGCGAGATGTCCCAAAGGATTCAGGTGCTTTGCACCAATGGCGCATGGTTCGACATGAGTGCCCTATCTAGTGCCCTCACCGAACGGTGACACCACATGGCACAATTGCTGTGGCATGTGGCCCGAAATGTAGACGCTTGATGAATAAACCTCCCAAATGAAGTATGCGTTCAATTCAACTGGGCGGGTTTATCAATCAAGGATCTAGATTCATTTCCTGCCATTCGCAGGGTCGGCCCTCTTCGACTTTCCTTTCGCATGCATCACGCTCGCCCTTCCGTCCCGACTTCGCACGACACTCGAAGAAGAGACGATGAAGACCGGGCCTTCGTTGATAGAGCCACACGATCCACACCACCAGGGTCAGGTTGACCATCCTGACCGGATGTGCTGGGCACTGACCATCCACTGTTAGCCCCCAGCTAGCCGATAAAGCCCATCGCACGGATCCGAGATGAAGGAGTGAATCGTTCGTTGAGGTTTACCAAATCGGTGGGCTTCAAAGAGCGAACTCGTTGCATTTATGTGGGGGGGTGAAGAAACATGAACGCACTCCACGGGACAACATGCTATGTGCTGCGTGCTAAACAAAGGAAGGCAAACATATGACCGTGCTCAACCAAAATCGCCACCGGGTGGCCAGATATGCCACCGAACTCGCATTTTTCTGTCGGTTTGGTCCTAGCTCTTGCGAATCTAAGCACCCACGTGTCGCATGTGCTAGCCTTTCAACTGCTAGCCTTTCCGCCTTTCAACTTCCTCAACTGAGCGTGGGGACTGTGTCAAAAAGTACATCCCATAGGCTAGTTAGACATAATTAGGCGTTAGATGAATACCGCACGCAAAGCAAGGGACAGCTCTTAGCCTCTACCTGTCTTGGCCGTACACCTCCGGGACTCGACCATCTGCGATGTAACACTTCCACCCAGGTGCATTCACCATGCTACACCGGTTCATATGCCGCATCTGCCTGAGTGACCTCTATTTATCTATTTTGGACCACCAACCACTCAAAGATATGGTCCAGCATCCAATCAAAACAAATGTATTATTGTCCCTCTGTCTCTAAAAATACACCCCTGGCAACCAACTAACTGACACCCGCTACCCGAGCGCGGTTCTGCCGTTCAGCCCGCGCCAGGCGGCTCCCGCATTGGCGCGCAAGCGCTGGAGCTCTTCGTCCGACCTCCAGTGAGGGCGAGGACCAGTCCCTGCAGTGGGGTTGTAGAAAAGCTGAACCCTTCCTGGCCCACCATTGATTGAATGGTCTGAATCCCAAAGAACCATTGTTTCAGTAAGGATTTTACATGACTGTTTAACAGTTCAACCATTTTAAAAATAGTCTTGGAAGCCTAGGGCCTATAGGGCTGATGTAGAAAAGCCTTATATGACCCCAAGTTGGAAAAAAACATCTCTATTGGTTGGTGATGCAACATAGAGATCACTCAGTGTATACTCAGCTTCTAAGCCGGCCATGTGGGTTACTCGCCCCGAAGCGGGCAGGAGCGGAGCCTTGGACTCGCTCCGCTTTGGACCGTTAGACCAGACCCAGGAGTCACATCAGTCACCAAGAGCTTCTTCCAGCACCACCCAGTTCGGGTGGTTGTTCGATGGAAAATACATCTTCGGGTGGTTCGGGGGGTCTATAAACCACCCTTTGGATGGTGCTGGTTGTTACTAGTAGTAAGGATGCTATTAATAGTACTTACAGTACGGCCAGTAGCCCCCTACTTAGTAGCGTGCGATCGCTCCGTTCGAATGGATGAGTGGATGGGGGCACATAACCTCCTTTCGAACGTTCAAACACCGGCACCCCGTCGAATCCTGCGGGGGCTGGGGCTGGCCACCGAGCCTTCTTGTGGCCCTGATCGGAAAAGCACGGCGACCAGTCGCCCCGCTTCAGCGACTTTGCAAACCCAAAGAACTAGAAATGTTGGCCTCCAACCTAGTAGCTTCTAGCTACTAGTCGAAATGTTGGAACTAAACTCAAATAATTGTTGCCTTGTTAAGAGCCCTTGGTGGATTGGCTTTTGGGTGTCCAGCCCCGCGCTCCGGCGGTCTTAAGAAGCCCCTCCGCCCCTCCTTCTAAAGAGACCCCGAACAAGCGCCTTTGGGCGACCCTTTCACTGCCCCCCCACCCGTGTTGACGCCCATTTTGGATGAGCGCCCGCCCATGAAAAACTCTGCGATGCTTCGGAACTCTGCGATGCCTAGGCCTTCGGACGAAAAAAGTGTTCTTTTAGTTACATGTATCATACTCTGCCGTGCCCAGTGTCACAATGAAAGTTGATTCCTTTCAAACCGGATTGAAGGCTCATTTGCAGTTTCTACAGGCTTTTCCATTGTTGCAGGTGGAGGCAAGCGAACTTCCCTGAAACTCCTCGGATGGATTCCAACGCAGCCAAATGCCACCCCTGCAGACAGTAGAACCATGAGCAGGAAGACACATTCGTTCAAATGGCGCACGGGCCCCAACCATTCCTGCAACAACGCCCCCAAGGGATATTTGAGTTGTTCGAGTTGCACAAAGACCACAAATGATGCGACGGTGCACAGGAGGATGCCAAAGGTCACCAAGCAGTCACACCATGCTCTTTCGCGTCTCTTCCGAAGAGCGCACGACAATCTCATAGCGATGGCACAAATAGTTGGCACCGCCCCCAACCACCAGCCTTTGACTGTCCAGGAGCTGAAAGGAAAAAACCACTTCCAGGAGCTGAAGGGGATTCACCGATACACCCCGAAATGGGAAAAGAAATCATGCTATCAGCAAAACCAGGCCACTCGCACCACGAAGAATGCCATCATCCATGGCAGATCGCCAGGTTCGACCAGGATATTGATCTAGGTAGTGTAGAATTGCTGCTGCCAGATCCAGATAGGACCACAGCAAGGGAATGGTGGCCGTGACGCAATGTCGGTATGTGAAGAAGTGCGATGAAAGCTCTTTCAAAAGGCATGGCAGGACCTCTGCTTGCACACTCTGCTCAAACGCCTCGAGCGTGCCAAACCAGATACCAATACATTGCAGCAAAACCTGCCGATCACAGATTTGGATCCGATTCCCAGAAGGATCAACATGGTTCCTCTGGCAACAGTAGCACTGCACCTCTTCCAAGGAGAAGTTGAATAACCTGGCACTGGCTTGCATTGGCTTCCCAAACGATCCACAAACAAAACAAGAACATCTGAATGGCATTAATCCCAAAAGACTGCTAGAACCCGGACATACCACCCATGCAATCCCTCGAGATTGGTTGCCTGTCTACATTGAATTGGCTTCAAATGACGCTACACATACAACGGTCGACGTCGCCAGGCAGCTCGCTTCGCATCTGGTCCACTGCACGGAAGTATCCGCGAGCCACAGAAATCATCGCATACAAGCCGATGAGGAGAACCAAGACTTGACTTCCCCACAGAGCCAGCTTTCCTACCGGAAAGCTGATTGGTTGAAATTTTAAAAAATGTCACTGATGATGGGGAGGAGCATAGAAATAGAGGAGGTATATACTAAAATACCTGTTTCCAAACACGTTGATCAACAAATCTGGTTGCCTACTATGCCCTATTATGCCCTATCAGAACCTGTGAAGAAAAAAACGACTTGAAGTTCCCTAGTGCGAGCTTTGCACTGTTCAAAACACACACCTCGCAAAACCTCGTAACATCTCGCAACTCCGCCTGCAAGGTCCCCTTGTTCTGGAACCCACCCGATGGCAGTGACCACCACCACCATGGTCAGCGTCAGCAAAACCTAGCTTCCACGTGTACAGCATTGTCTGGGAAGACAAATCAACGACAAACAAACACAAACAAACAGAGGATTTCATGGGTTTCTACCAGGTCTTTGTTTGTGCTCAAACCTTGGGGAATGCGAAACCTTGGGGATGAGCGAAACGACCAAGCAGGTGTCGCCAGGGGACCGAACACGGCCCCAAAATCAGCGGCCGCACCAAGAGCTTTGGCTTGCCCGCTGGGCGGCTCCGCATGAAGCCGGCTAATTCAAAGACACACCACAAGCGACGGGTGTACGAGGGGTCCCACAAAACCAGTAGCGAGTCAGAGTACTTCCTCAGTGGTGGTCTCGAGAGACCAAAACATGTCTTTTTAATCCAGGAGTGTGGCTGAACAGGCAGGCTGATTAGTATGGCAAATCACCAGATGATTCACAATTTACAAGCACAGCACCTGACTTTGGAGGATGATGGATTAAAAACTGTCTTTGATGCCCCCCTTTTGTAGGATGTTCAAAACTCCTCCAAAGAAACTATACAAAACATGTTCTGCTGAACCAAAAGTAAATTATCATAAACTATCTATCTGAGCTTCAGAAAGGCCCCCATGCTCAACATGCCACATGCCTTTTGGCGTTTATCCTCTTGGTCAATGCACATGATGTCAAGGAAGACCGGCTGCTGTGGTTGCCAAAGCAAGAGAACTAGAAAGTACATCATAGAGCCAACCAGCATGGCCCAAAAGCCGCGGGGCGAAGCCCATAGGTTTGCGTCCCACTCGAGGCCAGGGAGAAGCTTGGCCGCGAAAAGGCTTGCCACCAAAAGAGCTCCCAGGCTGGAGCAAATCATGGCTGGTATGTGATTATGGATGAAAAGCAGCGTTGTAATCTTGCTTCGCCAGCCTCCTGTCCATAGGATTCTCCATGAGCATGGTGCGCGGCGGACAATTGGCCGGCGATATATCTAGCTTCTTCTGAGGGCAACAATGTTACTATATATGTATATGCCATTCCAAAGGACAAATTTGAAGAATACACCCTGCCTTGCCAGCTGTGACTCCAAAATCGCTTGATCTTTGTGGTCTCAAAGCTCTTGCAGTACTTAGACCTGGCCCAAGAACAGATCTTCAACCAATAAAACATGAATAGAAAAGCAAAATAATACACCGCAGAACTCACTCTTGAGCGAACATCAAATCTTCGCTTCCGGCTCTCCAATTTCTCGCCTGGAGATCCCTCGTCCGCAACGCAAAGCGTGGCAAACCCTCACAGCCCTGACCACCTCGGGTGACGTCGGCTCCATGGCTGCCACTTTGTCCGCCAACTTTTCCATAATCTCCGACATGTCGCTCTCCATGGGCGAGGTTAGCGGCGGGCCGGTGGCGCACAAAAAAAAAAGCACTGAGTGACCTCAGTTTCACTGAGCCATCCAAGTCGCAGCTCGCACCAAAAGGATCAACAGAAGGCTTTCTCCGGTGAACCCGAAGGCTTCTTGTTCACCTACTATTTTGGGGGGGGTCCCAAAACCAAAGAACTGCATAGCATATCACGGTCACCTCCAAAGTTCGTGTCGGACTGCGTAAATACTGCAGGAGTCTGCAAAAAGACTGCGGCGTGCATCCAGACGGCCACACACGTCCTTTTCTTGGGAGATCCGTCTACAGGCACAGCCAGAGATCTTTGTCGCCGGCCAACTGGGGCAACTCATGCGCTCAGAGACAGATCTCTTATTTCCAGTCACAGAGGTTGATGAGAACAAACAGCATTTTGCAACTGGTGGTGAACTTGACCAATCCTTAGCTTGGATTTCCTGTCCAGGAACCGGGAAAATAAACATCACCAGATCAGCACAACCGAGTTGAGCAAGATGCTTAGCAAAGAATTCCCGAAGCGGCTTGTGCATTGAAGACCCAATGGTGCTAGGGTTTGAGTTTAGATTGGAGAGATATATATGATGGACTCGAGTCGGTTCGAGTCCGAGCAGGAGTGGATCTGTGCCAAGGGGATCCACAGCAAAAACCAAGAACCAGGAGAAGCTGGGTTCCATCAACACCCATGGTACCAGTAGTTAGAAGCAGTGGGCCTAACTTTTCGAACACAGCCACGAGCCATCTAGACATTGCCAGTTGACGCAACCAATCCAAAATTGGCATCACCGGATGCTAGTCCCGTCCCGTGTCGCGCACAGAAGAAGGCACGCACGCTAGTCTACGGCATCAACCTCGGCACTGACTTCTACTGAAGGAGCCTATTTTCCACTTGGCACTCAGCACCGGAGGACGCCAGTAGTACCTCCGCACCAGCCACCTCGAGGGGGTTGTCGTTTCGTCATCGGTGGACGGTGGACGGTGGGCGGAGATGCAGTGAAGGGGTCGACGTTGGCATAGAAGGCTTGTGATAAGATCCTAGAGCGTAGAGGAGGTTGGTTGCAGAAGATAAAGTATAGGATA